TGCGGGGCCGCCCCCTCCGCCCGGACAGAGACCGGGCGCGGGGTGGGCGGACGGACGCCGCTCCCCGGGAGCCCCTGAGCAACTCGGAGCTCTTCCCTCGCCAGCTGCCGTCTGATGCCGCTGCATGGCTGTGCCTGGAGGACTGACTTAGCCCTCCGGAGCCCCGGCTGCTCCGTCTGTCCCATGGGGTTGAAAGGTACACCTCCCCCCGTGGTTAGGGGGAAGGATTAAGGCCGACACGACGTGGTTGTTGTTATGCCGTGGTGGGCTGTGACTTCCCCAGATCACACCGTTCTTCTCTCTCTTTTCTCCCCCCCAGAAACCCCCCCGGCCGCGCTCCTCCGCCCTGTGTTCCTGTGGCTGGGGGGGTCTCCCCTCCCTCCACGACATGGAGCCGTCTCCTCTGTCGCCCGGCGGGGCGGCTCTCCCCCTGCCTCTCTCCCTGGCTCCCCCGCCACTGCCCCTGCCGGCAGCGGCGGTGGTTCACGTGTCCTTCCCTGAAGTGACCAGTGCCCTCCTGGAGTCCCTCAATCAGCAGCGGCTCCAGGGCCAGCTCTGCGATGTCTCCATCCGGGTGCAGGGACGCGAGTTCCGCGCCCACCGGGCTGTCCTGGCTGCCTCCTCCCCCTACTTCCACGACCAGGTCTTACTCAAAGGCATGACCTCCATCTCACTGCCAAGCGTCATGGACCCAGGTGCTTTTGAAACTGTGCTGGCCTCAGCTTACACTGGCCGCCTCAGCATGGCCGCCGCTGACATCGTCAACTTCCTCACGGTGGGCTCCGTCCTCCAGATGTGGCACATTGTGGACAAGTGCACCGAACTCCTTCGGGAGGGCAGGTCCTCAGCCGCCGCCACCACCACCGTCACTACCGCCGCCGCGGCCCCCTCTGTCTCTGCCCCTGGCGCCAGTGTCCCCTCGGGGAGCGGGGCCACTGTAGCCCCCGCCACCGTGGGCTCGGTGCGCTCCCACACTTCCAGCCGGGCCAGTGAGAACCAGTCTCCCAGCAGCAGCAACTACTTCAGCCCCCGGGAGTCCACCGAGTTCTCCTCTTCCTCCCAAGATGCGTTTGTAGCTTCGGCCGTCGGCTGTGGGAACCGCCGAGATGGTGGCCCTGTGTTCCCGGTCCCCGTGGTTGGCAGTGCGGGTGCCACCTCTGGAAAGTTGCTGCTGGAGGCAGATGAGCTGTGTGATGATGGTGGGGACGGGAGAGGGGCGGTGGCCCCTGGGGCTGGGCTCCGCAGGCCGAGCTGCATGCCCGCCGGTGCTGTGCCGCAGAAACACTGGGTCTATGTGAAGCGGGGTAGAAACTGCCCTGCAGCAGCGTCCCTGGTCCACCAAGACCCAGAGCTGGAGGACGAGGAAGAAGAGGAAGATCTGGTGTTGACTTGTGAGGATGATGAGGACGAAGAGCTGGGGGGTGGTGGCCCAGGGGTCCCTGCAGGGGGAGAGCCCGAGGCTACTCTCAGTATCAGTGATGTGCGGACCCTGACCGAGCCTCCAGACAAAGGGGAGGAGCAGGTCAACTTCTGTGAGTCCTCCAATGACTTTGGCCCCTATGAGGGTGGGGGGCCCGGGGCCGGGCTTGACGACCCAGGAGGGCCCACCCCTTCCTCCTATACCCCCGCCCACCCTCCACGACCCCTCCTTCCCTTGGACGTGCCGGGGAACCAGATCTTGGTTTTCCCGTCCTCTTCTTCACAGGCTCCCGGCCAGCCACCGGGGAACACGGTCGAACACGGGGCGGTGACCCTGGGGGGCACCTCCGCGGTGGGGCTAGGCATGCCGAGTGGCTCTGGTGGGGCCCCTGGAGGGACGGGCAGCAGCGACGGGAATAAGATCTTCTTGTGCCACTGTGGGAAGGCTTTCTCGCACAAGAGTATGCGGGACCGGCACGTGAACATGCATCTCAACCTGCGGCCCTTCGACTGCCCGGTGTGCAACAAGAAGTTCAAGATGAAGCACCACCTGACGGAGCACATGAAGACGCACACGGGCCTCAAGCCCTACGAGTGCAGTGTCTGCGCCAAGAAGTTCATGTGGCGGGACAGCTTCATGCGGCACCGGGGACACTGTGAGCGCCGGCACCGGATGGGCGGCGGCGGGGCCGCACCGGGACCCGGACCCGGACCCGGGGCTCCTATTGGGCCAGCCTTGCAACCTAAGAGGGAGTCTTCCGGAGGGGCTGGGGGCAGTGGCGACGAGGCGAATTCGGCCACGCCCCCGTCCCACAGGCGTGTCTGGTCCCCACCCGGCGTGCACAAGGTGGAGATGGATTTCGGTGGGGGCGGAGCAGCGCACTGAAGGGCAGGCCGTTGGGCTTATCCAAGGGCAACGCGGCCCCTGGGGTGTTTCCCGCTGCACTGTCTTCCCTTACCTCTGTGGACTTGTATATATTCTAGAGGGCGTAGGTTGCACCACCGCCAGCCGGTCCCAGTCCTCAGCCCCTTCCTCCCTCGGCATCTCCGAAACTAAGCCTTTTTTCTTCTCCCTTGGGTACACCAGTGCCCCACCTTTTCGGAACGGGCCGCTCAGCGAGGGAATGGGAAGGGGGCATTCTGAGCATCCCGGAGTCACAGGGTCAGCGGTCAGGTTGTGCTAGTTTGTGCCTGTCTGTGTGTGTGTTGTGGGACGAGGCCTTTTGAGTCCTTCTCCCTCCTGAAGGACACGCCCCTTATTTCTGTACTGTCCCACTTCCCAGGGGATCCCCAATTGGGCTTCATCAAAGTGGGCGGAGACAAGGAGTGAGCCGCGTAGTGTAGGTTTTAATTTTTAACGGTGATTAAAATATTTATTGGTCACTTCACTTGGCTTCCCGACAACCCCTCTGTGTGTGCTGGGACCTGGCAGGGTCCGGGAGGTCGGAGGACGCGGGAGTAATGGTCCTAAGGGAGGTGTCGCCGAGAGACGCCGCGGGAGGGCGGAGCCTAGGTCGTCCGTCGCAGGGCTCAAAGTTGGCGCTTCTGGGTGATCCAGGAGCGCGTGCAGGGTGCGGAGGGGCAGACCTGGAGGCAGGGTGCTGCGTGCCTCCCGCGTGCCGCCAACCCTCACTTGATCTGAACGGGAATTTCCGGTCCTTCACGCTGGCCTTCGGAGTAAATGAAAGTGAAAGGGGAAGAGACCTAGAGTAGAGATCGCAGCGCCATGGAGCCTCTGCCCCTGCTTATCGCTGTGGTCTTGGGTGAGCGAACCCCGCTGCTTGTTTAGGAAAGGGCGCACTGGGAAGGAGAGGGAGGTGGTCCCATCTCACGACCGAAGGGGCGGGGCAGGTCGCTGGACATCCCGGCCGCCCGGTCACTGGAGCCCCTCTCCCCCAGGCCTGGCGACCACCGTGTCGGCTGGACCGGCCGCGGTTGAGTGCTGGTTCGTGGAAGATTCAGGTAGCCTGGCCAAGAGACCTGCCGCGTTGCTACTGCGCCAGGGACCCAGGGGTCCGCCGCCCCGGCCAGATCTTGACCCTAAGCTGTACTTCAAGGTGGATGGTGAGTCTTCGGGACTCACTGCATCTATCGCCTCCTCTTTAGCTCACGTCGGGCCCTTGGGCCTCAGTTTCCCCCTTTGTAAATAAGTCTGGGTTCTCTCTAATTCTCTCACTACTTTGTTAGTATGTACATTCCGGTCTGTGTACAGTCTGCACGCTTCCAGCCGGGGCTACAGTTGCACCCTTTCGGTCCCGCAGACCCGGCCGGAATGCTCCTGGCTGCCTTCAGGCGGTACCCCGCGGGCGCCCCCGCACCGCACTGCGAGATGAGCCGCTTCATCCCGTTCCCCGCCTCGGCGAATTGGGCTAGAGGTCTGATCCCGCAGCAGAACTGCCCGCGGGCCCTGGACGGGGATTGGCTGCTGGTCAGCGTGTCCAGCACCGTCTTCAGCCTTTCTGTCCTGCTGCGACCACAGCCAGAGCCTCAGCGGGAGCCCGACTTCACCATGGCAACAGGTAGCCACGGAGAGGTGCGGGAGATGGATGGGTAGTTTTTAAAGGTCGCCCAGTGGCCACTGGCGGAGTAGATCTGAATGAGTCATTTCTCCAATTGGGGTTCAGTATATTTTTTGTTAAGCGAGGCAGTTGGTTAGAATTTGTCTTCACCCTTCTTTGTAGGCCAAGAGTAAAACTGAAATCAACTCTGGTTTTTGGGCGGGGCTTTGTAGACAGGTTGGGGAAGTCACGGTGGTTTCCAGATACCGGAGTTTGAGAAACTTGTAAAGTGACAAGTAGTGAGTCCTAAAACCCGGATTTTTTTCTGCACTCCTCCAAAGTCAGTAAATCGCTAGGCACCCTACTTGGAACAGTTGAGCCTGTTTCAAAACTCAGACTTTGAGTTTCACCTAAGCCTACTCTAGCCTAGTGACAATCAGCCAGGCCAGGAAGCTCTTCCTCAGGCTCGAGGCCATGGCCTGTTGTCCGTTAATAGTGGCCTCTAGTGGGCAGAAGGGACGCGGCAAAGGCGGAGGATTCTTCTGCAAGGCCACTTCTGAATAGTGCAGTGCACTTTGCTGGGCTGGACTCCGGGTCACTCCATGGGCATATGCTGAAATGGGGTAGATCTGACGTGAATGTCTCTGGACACCAGGCAACAGGTAGAGAGACTCCTTGACTTTTCCATTTCTAGTGTTCTCATGCAAATACTCCCACCAAACTCCTGTGTCCTTACCTGCTCCATCACTTGAGAACTTCCACAGGACAAGGGGACAACCTGAAACCCTCAGCCGGGCTGGCACCTCCGTTCTTAGCTCTGCCCTGGGCAGACCTGCTGTGGGTACAGCCGTTCACTCCAGAGAAACAGCCCTCCTCCTGCTGGTTTTCACCAGAGATGATGGTGGCCGCCACAGCCTTTCCTCTGTGTCTATTTTTTCCAGCTGTGAAAAGCAGGAACTATTCTCCCAGCTTTTCCTTTGTGACAGTGAAGCAAGGCACTGAGTTAATTTACTTATTGATGCAATAAATGTTTATTAGTGCCAAGAAAAAGTTAGGACCCAGAGGTCCCCAGATCAAGCTCCAGATAGATGTTATTGGAAGTTCATATAGACCAAAGCCTTGGCAAAATGTGGTGGCATGTCTCTGTAACCCAAGCACCTGGGAAGCTTAGGCAGGTTTATCAGGAGTGCGAAGCTACCCTGGGCTGCAGAGGGAGTCCTGGTCTAGCCTGTGCAACACAGCAAGACTCTTTTTCAAAACTAGTAAGTAACATACTGAAAGCTAATTCCTTCTCCGTGGTAGGGTGGCCCTGTATACTCTAAGTGACAGAGGTGATCAGGTATAGACTAAGTGTGGTTCTCAGACTTGTCAACAGATAATCCTGTGTGACTTTTGCATGGCTGGGGTGTGTGGCTCAGTGGTTGTATTCTTTCTTCCTTCCTTCCTTCCTTCCTTCCTCCGAATCTGGAGCCTCAGCAGAGCAGTATGTGGCCTTAAACTCCAAGTCATCTCGGTAGCCCCTTGTATGTATTGTAACTGAGCTCTGGGCCCTGGGTTGATTCTTGGGGCTGCCCAGACAGGGAGTCTGCTTCCACAGACTCCTGGGGTGGAATCAAATGTGTGTCCTGTCTTCCTCATCAAATCGCTTCCAGGTCACTTCTGCTCGATTAGAAACATGAAAATGGGGGCTGGAGAGATGGCTCCGTGGTTAAGAGCACTGGCTGCTCTTCCAGAGGACCCAGGTTCAATTCCCAGCACCCACTTGACAGCTCACACATGTCTGTAAATCCAGTTCCAGGGGATTTGACACCCTCACACAGACATACATGCAGGCAAAACACAACATAAAAATAAATAAATCTTTAAAAAAACAAAACAAGCCACCAACAGGCTGGGGGCGCCTTAGTGGGAGGGATTTCCTAGCAGCAGGAAGCTCTGCTGTGCAGACTTCTGTGCCCCATGTGTGTACTGAGAGCCTCCTGTGAAGCCGTTTTGAGCCAGGAGTGGAACAGATTTGGTTAGCTAGAGGTGTCAGGTGACGCCTTCGCCACAGCCTCCGTAGGTAGGTACTGTTCTTATCGCGGCCACCTCTTTATTCGTTTTCCTTTGTTTTGAGACTGGGTCTCATATAGTAGCCCAGGCTTGTCTGGAGCTCATGGCAATCCTCCTGCCCGAGTCTCCCGTGTGAGCCACTGTGCCCTGCTTCCATTTCTGGTTTGGAGATAGGAGGGGCTGAGGGTGTGGGTCAGTGGTAGACCCACTGCCTACTGTGTGTGAGTCTGATCATCCGCGTTGGAGGTGCATGTCCGTAATCCTAGCACCTGAGAGGCAGGGACAGGTGGGCCCGGAGTCCCATGACATCATGGGCTACATGAGACCGCTTCAAATAAGATAGCTCAGTGGCCGAGCACTTGCCTGGCATGGATGAGGCCTTAGGTTCAGTCATTAGCACTGCACCTGTTAGCTACTCCCCACTGCCTCCCAACGCGCGCGCGCGCACACACACACGCGCACACACACACACACACACACACACACACACACACACACACACACACTAACCAAACAAATGAACAAAGAAACAAAAAAAGGGAGCTAGAGAGATGGCTCAGAGGTTAGGAGCACTGGCTGCTCTTCCAGAGGTCCTGAATTCAATTCCCAGCAACCACATGGTGGCTCACAACCATCTGTAATGAGATCTGGTGCCCTCTTCTGGCCTGCAGGGATATGTGCAGACAGAACACTGTATACATAATAAATAAATAAATAAATCTTTTTTTTAAAAAAAAAGAAACAAAAAAGGAAAGAAAGAACTTGGGAAGCTAAAGTAAGAGAATCAGTCGAGTTCCAGACTAGCTTAGCCCTACATAGTGAGTTTCAAGATAGCCTGGGCCAGAGTGAGTCTTGTCCCCAAAAATAAACAAACAAATAATAAATAAATAAATAAATAAAATAAAAGAGGTGTGTGTGTGTGTGTGTGTGTGTGTGTGTGTGTGTGTGTGTGTGTGTGTAGAGATGGCCCAGCAGTTAAGAGCACTGACTGCTAGGATTGTGGTCCTAGTGCCTGTCCTGTTTGATGGCTCACAGCCACCTGTAACACTAATTCCAGGGGATCCAGTGCCCTCTTCTGGCCTCCTTGGGTACTGCACACACATGATGCACTTAACATACATGCAGGCACACATATAAAAAAATTAAAAAATAAAAAAAATGTAAATGTGCCCCTAGATCTTGGACATCTCCAGAATTTGAGAGCTGTAGTGGGCAGTGTGTTCAGCACAGATTCCTAGGGTTGAACCCCCGCCCCACATACACACATCACCTTGATTTACCCTTATTCTTCCTGCACATTGTTAGCTACATTGGTTTAGAACTGGAATGAAGGGAGGGCTTGGAGGTCGTATTACAAATGGAGGTGTCTCTGAAGGGTGGGTAAACTGAGGCCCACAGCTCTGCTTTTCTACTCTCCCTCTCTCCCCTTTCTCCCAATGCCCAGTGGTGCTGACCGTCCTCACCCACAGCCCCAACCCTCGGATCCAGCTGGGAAAAGATGCGGTGCTGGACCTGAGCTTTGCCTACATGCCCCCGACTCTGGAAGATGCTCTGTCTCCGGCCGCAGGTCCCCCTCCCTTTGGGCTGGAGTGGCGTCGCCAGCACCGGGGCAAGGGTCACCTGCTGCTGGCTGCGACTCCCGGGCTGGCTGGGGAAACGCCACCAGCCCAAGAAAAGGCTGTGGCATTTGCTGCTTGGGATGACAATGAGCCCTGGGGCCCGTGGACTGGGAATGGGACCTTCTGGCTGCCAGCTGTGAAACCTTTTCAGGAGGGCATCTACCTGGCTACTGTACACCTGCCCTATCTGCAAGGACAGGTCTCCCTGCAGCTGACGGTGCACAGTGAGTGGGTATACCGTGGCAGCGGGAGGGGAGATAGACATGAGCGTGTATGGGTGGTAAATGTAGATGGGGGGGGGTCCTGGGAATCTGACCGCTTTAACATGGGGATTCCCACCATCAGAGCACCCCTCCAGTACAAGGGAAGTAGAAGCCAGACCGGGGGAGGAAGTGGAATCTCTCATTTTCCTTTCTTATTCTTTCTTCAGAGCCCCCCAAAGTGTCTCTGACACCAGCCCCCCTTGTGTGGGCTGCCCCGGGAGAGACACCCCCGGAACTGCTCTGCCTCGTGTCCCACTTCTACCCTGCGGCGGGCCTGAGGGTGGAGTGGGAGCGCAGAGGTGGCCCAGAAGGCGGTTCTGGAAAGGCTGAGGGGGAGACGTGGCTCTCCACTGTCCGCCACCATTCCGATGGCTCTGTCAGCCAGGCTGGGCACCTGCGGCTGCCCCCAGTCACTGCCAAGCAGCATGGAGCACGCTATGCCTGTCGGGTCCACCACCCCAGCCTGCCGGCATCGGGGCGCAGTGCTGAAGTCACCCTGGAGGTGGCAGGTAACCCGGAGAACCTCTGAACCAGGGTGGGACCTCGGGAAACACCGAGCTCACTGGCACTGCTTCCCTTGCCAGGCCTCTCCGGGCCCTCAATCGAGGACAGCATAGGCCTGTTCCTGTCCGCTTTTCTCCTTCTGGGACTCATCAAAGCACTAGGCTGGATGGGTAAGTGTGAGCCCGCTCCAAAGGACATTTCCCGCCTGCTCCGTGAAGTCTCACATACCCCTTCCTTCCCCTGCCACTCACATCCCTCCCCCTCCGCCTTTCCCATAGCTGCCTACCTGACCATTCATAAAGACTCAAAGGCGAAGGTCACAGCTGCCAGCCTGGACTCAAAGGTAACAGCGCCCGGTTCTGGGTCTTTCCCTCCTCATGCCGCGTTTCTGCATGGTGGGACGCTGGCTGCTGGCGTGGCAGGCAGCCACGGGTGTCGATTTCACACAGACCTCGTCTAAATCCTTCTAACTATAGCTCACCTCAGACTTTCCAATCTGGGTTTGTTTACTTGAGTGCAGTTCAGTCTGTTAGAGATGTAAGCCACACACCTAAACTGAGATAATTAGTAGCTACATTAAAAAAAAAAAAAGGCAGGTGTCAGGGCACTTCAGAGGCGGAGGCAGAGTCTTGAGTTCTAGGCTGCTGCATAGAAACTTTGGCTCGTGTGGAGAGGAGTAAAATGAAACAGGCAAAACAATTTAATAATATATTTAAAATTACATTTTTGTTGAGACAGGTCTCATGTAGCCCAAGCTGGCCTCAAACTTGATGCATAGTTGAAGATGATTTTGTTTGTTTGTTTGTTTATTTATTGGTTTTTCAAGACAGGGTTTCTCTGTAGCTTTGGGGCCTGTCCTGGACTAGCTCTGTAGACCAGGCTGGCCTGGAACTCACAGAGATCTGCTTGGCTCTGCCTTCCAAGTGCTGGGATTAAAGGCGCGTGTGCCACCACTGTCCGGCGAGGATAATCTTAAATGCTTCATTCTTCTGCCTCCACCTTCCAAGTGATAGGATTACAGGAGTGTCACCACACTCAGTTAATGAACCTGCGTTTTGTGCTTTTTAGAAATTGCATTTATCTATGTGTGTGGCTATGTCCATACCATGGCACACATGTGGAGGTCAAGGAATAACTTGGGGGAGTTGTTTTCTCCTTCTACCACATGGGTCTTGGGGATCAAATTCAGAAGGGCAAGTACCTTTACCCCTGAGCCACGCCACTAGTCTATCTTTCTTCCTTTTTAAAGAATTTGTTTTGTGTGTATATATGAATGTGAGGGGTGTTGTCACATGTGGTTGGGTGTCAGAGGACAGCTCTTGGGAACAAATTTTCTCCTACAACCTTGTGGGATCCCAGATCAAACTCAACCACCTGCAGCTGACTCTGCCCGCTGAGCTGTCTCACAAGCATAGGTTTTTAAAGTGCAGAAGACAGTCAGAATTTACTACAGAGTAAGTGGGGGACCATCGAAGTGTAAGGGTGGGTGATGGCTAAAGGGACTGTTGTGGAGGAAAACACTATCACAGAGTGTGAAAGAACAATGGCCGGGAAGGCTACTGTGCAACCTACATTAAGTCGTGAACCTTACCTATCCAGAATATGTAAACATGTAAACAGTGTCAGAAATTCCAAAGCTCAGAGCACAGCCCAGGGGTAGAGTGTGCTTAGTCTCAGGTGACCCGAGGGGCCTTTGAGACGATGGCTCCCCTCTCCCAGAAGACTCAGGAGGTAGACCACTTAGTATTTGGCAGGTGGGAAATGCCAGCCCCATCCTGCTCCCACCCCCTGATGAGAATGTTTCTAGACTAACTAACTAACTAACTAGCTAACAAACACTCTAACACTTCAAATTCTCCACTTCTCTCTTCTCTTGCAGAAGTCACAGTAAAGGCACTCAATTCCGTGGAAGGCCACCCTCATCTTTGGCCCAGCTGACTCCAGTAGCTCCTCCCCTAAACAGCGTCCCTTCATGTTATCTTCTACTCCCTCCACTGAGTGGCTGGTGTTGCTTTTTTATTTTATTTTATTATTTTTTGGGTTTTTTTTTTTTTGAGACAGGGTTTCTCTGTGTAACAGCCCTGGCTGCCCTGGAATTCACTTTGTCGACCAGGCTGACCTCAAACTTGCCGAGATTCGCCTGCCTCTGCCTCCCAAGTGCTGGGATTAAAGGCATGCGCCACCACCACCCGGCTATTTTTTATTTTTGTTGTTTTGTTCTTGTTTTTAGACAAGGTCTCTCCATGTAGCCTTGGCTGGCCTGGACTTCACCAAGCCAACCAGGCTGGCCTTGAAGTCCCAGAGATCCACCTGCCTCTGGCTCTGGAGTAAGGAAGGGCATTGGTCACCATGCCTCAAGGATTGTTTTTTATTTTTATTTTTTAAAGATAAATCTAGCATTGTTAGAGTTCTAAGGCAGTGATTCTCAAAAATTTGGGTTCCAATACATCTTAAAAATGAGCAAGAAGCCCAAAGACTTTTTGTTATGTGGGCTACAGCTATTGGAACTTAACTAAAGTTAAAAAAAAAAAAAAAAAAAAAAAAAAGCCAGGCATAGTGGCGCACAGCACTCCAGAGGCGGAGGCAGGTGAATCTGTGTGAGTCCCATGCCAGCCTGATGTACAATAGGGAGTTCCAGGTCAGCAGGGTGGGGCTCTGTGGAGAGAACGAAACACAAGAATCTACAGTAGTCTCGAGCCCTTTAAGACCACCGGAAATATCAGGTATTCACAAGGGGCTCACAGCATCTTAACACCACGACGCTTCTAGAGCCGAGCGGCCCGTGTGTCTCCCATGGCAGACTAAGGCCTACCTCTCCAGCTCTCCTCTCATACCACAGCGTTTCCTCTGCCTGCTCTACCATCGCCATCTCTGGGTTCCAGGCCTGATGGGCCTCGTTCTGCCACTGACTCTCGAGTGTCCCTCTCGTGCGGCTCACCGGCTGAACCTGAAGAACGTCTGTCCCCTCCTGCCCGCCCGCCCGCCGGGGCACCAGTGTTGTGTGCCAATAAAGTGCTTCGGAGTCCCCATGCGTGTCTCTCGCTCTGCCCTCTTGACAAGCACAGCGAGCCTCTCGGTCACCTCGGGGCCCCTGCCACTACCGGGTCTTCCCGGTGCAGGGAGGCGACACAACCACCGTCGGAACTGCTCACACTCTGGCGCACCAGGAGACCCGGACTCCGGCAGCGACGGACCAGAGCGGAACCAAGCCGCGACGGGAACGCCGCCGGCGCCTCTCCCACCGGCTTCCGGCCCCGCCCCGAGGTGGGCGGGCACAGAGGCGGCGGCTCGGAAAACCCGGCCCGGATCCGCTCCGCTGCACTCGCGTGCGGGCGCGGGCAGTGTCACCCGCGGGCTGCAGGAGCGGGGTCGCGCCCCTCCTACGGCGCTCTCCCAGGGAGAGGCCATAGCACTGTTCTTGTTAGAGAAGCGGATTTAAAGTTCTGTTCTTGCCCCCCCCGCGGAGGCTCGGGGTCTCGATCTCCAGTCTGTCTGTCCTGGGAGACACGGGTTCCTGAATCCCCGAGTAGGGGTGCAGGGGACAGTGGAGTCGGGCACCCGGAGTCTGGGTCCTGGCCCCTGGCGTCCAGCACTTCCCTAGTCGGCGGCCCTGGCTCCTGTCCTCACTTCCTTCCCTTTTTGGCTCCTGCTGTCGGGCGGACGCCGGGAGGGGGGAAGCGGAAAGGGCGGGAGGGCCCGGGAGCCCGGCTGGCTTGGGAGGGGGGCGCGGAAAAGCCCGGGAGGGGACTCGGTCGAGGGCCAGAGACCGACCAGAACGGAGGCCCGGGACGCGCGCACAGCCTCTCACCCCTCCCGAGCAGGTCAGAGCCCGAGCCCCGGGTGACCCTGCCCATTCCGCACTCGGGATCCCCTAACCCCCAACAGGCACTGAGGGCCCTGGTTCCCCACTCCTGCGTGCCCGCCCGCCCCCCAGCCTTCCTGAGGGACTCCCACCCAGGTCCCCTGCCCTGCCCGTCCCCCCCACGCCCGTCTCCCCCACGCCCGCCTGACTCCACCCCCGCCCCACCCGTCTCTCCCCAGGCGCCCCCATGGCCTGACCCCGCTGATTCCTCCACTCGGCCATGCTCCCGCGGCCCCTGCGGCTGCTTTTGGACACGAACCCCCCCGGGGGAGTCGTGCTGAGCAGCTTCCGGAGCCGAGACCCCGAAGAGGGTGGGGACCCAGGTGGCCGGGCCGTGGGCGGGGGGCAGGAGGAAGAGGATGAGGAAGAAGAAGAGGTGAGACGCGGGTGGCGGGAGGCAGGGCATTAAATATTTCTGAGACTCTCCTCCTTTTGGTGTCTCTGGGTCCCTCGGTCTCTTCCTGCCGCACTCACATCCGCACCTCCGTCTGGGTGTCTGGCGGCGGGCGCTGGAGTCTCTGGACTTCTCCCTGTCGGTCTGACTCGGGACCCGCCTGCAGGAACCTGCCGAGTTCCTGCCTGGAAAGCCTGGCGGCCAGGCAGGCTGGCTGTGCCTGCGGGGCTCAGGTCCTCTTTGCCCATGCCTGCCCCAGAGAGCTGCCTCTGGGCAGTTGTGTCTTGGTCCCTGTCTCCCTCCTGGTTTTTGTTTGGCGGGGAGGGGTTTGTTTCCACAGTAACCAGCTCCTCAGCCTCTAGGATTGGGGAGGGAACCCTCAGATTTCACCGCCCCCTTCCCCCACCCCCTGGTGCTGGATTGAGGGCAGCAAGCCCAGAGGTCCTGGCACCCGGTGAGATGATCCTAGGATAGGTAGAGAGGGGTCATCTTCCTTCTTAGGGACTAATAGTTGTGACCAGCGGCAGGACTTGGGGCTTCAGGAGGATCCAGAAGTTAGATTCGGAGCCCAAGAGGCCCTGGTCTCCTGGGTCCCGACATTGGTAAAGTTAGGGTGACTGGCAAGGCTGGTTTTTCGGGATCGGTCGGGGGAGGGGCTAGGGCCACATGACTCTGAGTCTACCGTCCCCCCATCATCCCGACTTCCCCTTTTTCTTGTAACTGGGATCGGAGCCGCCACCTTCAGGGGATCCCCAGTGCTGAGATTGAGTGGGAGCTGCATTCGGGAGACCTGGGGAAGGGGAGTCTATGCAGTGGGGCTCCTGTGCTTCTGTCGGGGAGGGCGGGGCATGTGACGGCCTGAAGTTTCAGCTTCCCTGTGCTTCAGGTCTCTCCTTTGGCTTCGTGCCTCGTCTGGCGCGCCGCTCCCGCCCTTTGCACCCCGCTTTTCTGCCGAGCTGGGCTCAGCTGTGGGAGGGGGGGAAGGCGATTTGGGTGTGTCCAGAAGAAGGGTTCCTGCATTCAGTTGAAGCCCCCTCTACGACCTTCTCTATTCCAGCAAGCTCTGAGGCGGCTGGGGGGGGGGCTGTCTGAGCCCCAGTGGGGGTAGACCTGGGGTCACCAGCACCCTCTAGCCCTCGTACTCGCTGGTATTGTCCCCTGCCGTCACAGGTGAGGGCTACAGAGGGAGGAGCAGGGCCTGGGGAGCAATGGCCGGGCCCTGGAGGGGCTGTGGAACTGACTTGTTTTCCCCGCTCCTCCAGGCTCCCGCGTCCGTCTGGGATGAGGAGGAAGACGGCGCCACCTTCACTGTCACCAGCCGCCAGTACCGGCCTCTTGACCCCTTGGTGAGATCATGGCTTTGACCTCTCACCTCTGACCCCTCACCCCGCAGTTCTTTGATTTTTTTTTTTTCTTTCTTTTTGGGCAGAGCTCCGGGTTGCGGGTCTGGAGTCTCTCTAGACCCCGTGTTGTGTGATTTGAGCTCTTTCTGAACCTTGGCAAACATGAGCTAGGTCTGGAGTCTCCAGTAGGGGTGGGGAGATGAGTGAGCCCCACTCCGTGTTCTCCAGGCTCCTGTGCCCCCGCCTCGCTCCTCCCGACGGCTCCGCGCTGGCACTCTGGAGGCCCTGGTCAGACACCTGCTGGATGCCAGGACGTCGGGGGCTGACATGACCTTCACTCCAGCCTTGCTGGCCACCCACCGGGCCTTCACCTCCACGCCTGCCCTGTTTGGGCTTGTGACTGACAGGTCAGGGGCCAAGGGTGGAGGGGGCTCCCGGGCCTCTGAGCGCTCACAGCACCACCGGGGGTGGGGGTGGGGGTTGAAGGAGCTGCATAGGTAGACCCTCTCCTCATCCGCAGGCTGGAAGCCCTTGAGTCGCATCCTCCTGGTGAGCTAGAGAGGACCACAGGGTGAGTGCCCCTGACTCGACCCCAGTCCCCCCTGACGAAGCTGAGGCTGGACCTCTGACCCTTGGCTGGCTCCCCCTCTCCCAGGGTAGCCATCTCCGTACTTTCAACCTGGCTGGCCTCTCACCCTGAGGATTTTGGCTCTGAGGTCAAGGGTCAGCTTGACCGGCTTGAGAGCTTCTTGCTTCGGACAGGGTACGCAGCGCGGGAGGGTGTTGGGGGGGGCAGTGCTGACCTCATCCGAAACCTCAGGGCCCGGGTAGACCCCCGGGCCCCCAACCTTCCTAAGCCCCTGGCCCTTCCTGGCGATTCCCCTGCTGACCCCACGGATGTCCTGGTGTTCCTCGCTGACCACTTGGCCGAACAGCTGACCCTGCTAGATGCGGTGAGACCTTGACCTTTGACCCTACACTCTGACCCCTGACTAACCTCTCCTTGCTTCCGATGCTCCTGGAGTTGCTCTTCCCTCTGCGGCTCTGCCCCTCCCTGCCCTCCTCCCCTTCCTTGGCTGTCATCCTCGAGCTCTGTGCCCTGCTGGTCCCCGGCCACTTAAGAGCCTCAGCTCCCCGGGATTGGAAGCCGGTCTGGCCGACTGTCCATTTTAACCCGTGCGCTCTACCCTGCAGGAGCTGTTTCTCAATCTGGTCCCCTCTCAGTGTCTGGGAGGCCTGTGGGGTCACAGAGACCGGCCAGGACATTCTCATCTCTGCCCATCTGTCCGAGCTACCGTCACACAGTTCAACAAGGTGGCAGGGGCAGTAGTCAGCTCTGTCCTGGGGGCCACCTCGATGGGAGAGGGGCCAGGGGAGGTGACTGTGAGGCCGCTCCGACCCCCTCAGAGGGCCCGGCTCCTGGAGAAGTGGATCCGTGTGGCCGAGGTAAGGGAGAACAGCCCTGCTGGCTGGGGACTGTGACATGGAGAGGGCCTGCCGACGGCCTTGACTCTCTTTTCGGGTCCTCACAGGAGTGCCGCCTGCTTCGGAACTTCTCCTCAGTCTACGCTGTTGTGTCGGCCCTGCAGTCCAGCCCTATCCACAGGCTTCGGGCGGCCTGGGGGGAAGCAGCCAGGTGGGAGGCCCCAAGTGCCTGAGGCCTGGGGTGCAGCAGCTGAGCCAGGCCTGTGCTCAGGGCACTGCTCTTCCTCCCTAGGGACAGCCTCAGAGTCTTTTCCAGCCTGTGCCAGATTTTCTCCGAGGAGGATAATTATTCCCAGAGCAGAGAGCTCCTCCTGCAGGTGAGGCCGGTCCTGCTTTCCCCAGCCTCAGCCCCTGCCCCGCCCCCCACCCCTCACCACATCTTGTCACCGCCAGGAAGTGAAGCTGCAGCCCCCTGGGGAGCCACACTCCAAGAAGGCCCCAAGGTCCGGCTCCAGGGGTGGGGTGAGTGACCAGTGGGGCTGGGAGGCCTGGTGGCGAGGTGAACGAGGACAGTTCTGTGCGGAGGGAAGGGAAAGAAGGGTGTGTGTCAGGCGGGAGTCTGACCCTGACCTCTCTGCAGGGTGTGGTTCCATACCTTGGGACCTTCCTGAAGGACCTAGTGATGCTGGATGCAGCCTCCAAGGATGAGCTGGAGGTCAGTGGTGTGTGTGTGTGTGTGTGTGTGTGTGTGCATGTGTGCAGCCTCCAAGGATGAGCTGGAGGTCAGTGGTGTGTGTGTGTGTGTGTGTGTGTGTGTGTGTGTGTGTGTGTGTGTGTGCAGCCACCAAGGATGAGCTGGAGGTCAGTGGTGTGTGTGTGTGTGTCTGTCTGTCTGTCTGTTCTGGAAGGCTTAACAGGTGCACCTAAGGCTCAGACAGAGCCCTTCCACAGAGAGGCTACAAGACAGAAGCAGCAGAGTACAGTTTCTGGAGCCAGGTTCTGTCTCCATGGCAAACACTTCAGCCTCCGCACTTCGGTGGTCGTCAGTATACGTCTGACTGCGTCCACTCCAGCCTGTTAACGGGAGGGATAAATGAATACATTTTTGTCGAGTGTTTTGAGCAGACCGGAAACACTGGCATATAGTTTATGAGATAACAAATCCTGAATAGCTGGTGGTGATATGAGGGGCTCCCCAGCATGTTCCACCCACAGTGCTGCAAAAGATGCCGAGGCTTCCAGAAAGTTCCTTGTCCTGCTGTGAGCCCAATTGTCTCATCTAGAAGCTCGATGCTTTCTCTTAGACAGTAATTTAAGGTGTCAAGTGGAGCTGGGTGTTACCTGGAACCCCACACTACACTCAGGATGCAGAGGCAGGACAGTCTCTCAGACTTAGAGGGCAGCCTGGTCTACATGGTTTTTTGTTGTTTTAAATTTTTTTTTTTTTTTTTTATTTTTTTATTTATTTTTTTTATTTTTTTGGTTTTTCGAGACAGGGTTTCTCTGTGTAGCTTTGCGCCTTTTCCTGGAACTCACTTGGTAGCCCAGGCTGGCCTCGAACTCACAGAGATCCGCCTGGCTCTGCCTCCCGAGTGCTGGGATTAAAGGCGCGCGCCACCACCGCCCGGCTGTTGTTTTAATTTTTAAGACTTATTTTGCCCAGCAGAATGGCACACGCCTTTAACCCCAGCACTCAGGATGCAGAGGCAGGCAGAGCTCTATGACTTCAAGGCTAGTCTGATCGACATAGTGAGTTCTAGCCAGCCAAGGCAGATAGGAGCTTGGGTCTGAGGTGTGAATGGAGGAGAGGGATGGAATCCCACGGTCTAAGTGGCTTGTGCACTGGCTCTGTTTGGGAAGAAGGGTGTTCTCTCTGGCGCCCGAGCAGGATTAGCACATTCGTCCTTTGCCCTTGCAGAACGGCTACATCAATTTTGACAAGCGGAGGAAGGTGAGGGGACTGTGGGGCTGGACCCTGGGATTCCCTGATCATGTCCCAGGATGGGGAGAGGGAGGCAAACTCAGGGGTCCCTGAGTTTTGGCTCCTGCAGTTTGAGGGCTCCTTCCCAGGAGTTTGCGGTCCTTTCTGAGCTGCTGCGCCTCCAGAACGAATGTCGTGGCTACGACCTCCGTCCTGACCCTGATATCCAACAGTGGCTCCAGGGCCTCCAGCCATTAACAGAAGCTCAGAGGTGACTGGCCGGGTGGTTGGGTTCTAGGGCTCTGGCTGGGGAATGTGGGTGTGTGTGTTGATGGCATATCCTGACCTCTGTCCATGGCTATCCTGTCCAGTCACCGTGTGTCCTGTGAAGTGGAACCTCCTGGTACCGGTGACTCCCCTGCTACCAGGATGCTTCGGCCGACGCTAGTCATCTCACAGTGGACAGAGTAGGAGCATTGCTGGCTGGGAGCTGGTCTCATGGGGACTTGCCGCTGCCCCTGTCCTGGTCTGACTTCCTGCCTCCCCAGAGTTCTGGGCTCTGTCGGAGGCCCCACCCCTCTCGTGTCCTGGGATCGGCCCAGTGTTGGGGGAGATGAAGCACCGGGGACCCCTGCTCCTCTGCTGACTCGGCTGGCCCAGGTGAGTCCACCTCTGACCACGCTGAGACGCCTCTCTGCCTCCCTCCCTCCGTGACCTCCCCCGTCTGCCCCTAGCACATGAAGTGGCCATCCCCCCCTCCGTGACCTCCCCCTCCGTGACCTCCCCCTCCGTGACCTCCCCCGTCTGCCCCTAGCATGTGAAGTGGCCATCCCCCCCTCGTGACCTCCCCTTCCGTGACCTCCCCTTCCGTGACCTCCCCCCGTCTGCCCCTAGCACATGAAGTGGCCATCCGTCTCGTCTCTGGACTCGGCCCTGGAAAGCACCTCCTCTCTGCACAGTCCGGCTGACCCTAGCCACCTCTCCCCTCCAGCCTCCTCCCCTAGGCCCTCTCGGGGTCACCGCCGCTCAGCCTCCTGTGGATCCCCATTGAGTGGGGGCACAGGAGAGGGGGCCTCTAGGGGTTCTGGATACGGGGGAGGGGTATCTGGACCAGGGTCCTCCGATTGCCGAATTATCCGAGTCCAGATGGAGCTGGGGGAAGACGGCAGCGTCTACAAGAGCATCTTGGTGAGGGAGCCGGGGCCGGGCTGGGTGGGGAGAACCTCGCTGTATTAGACAGGAGTGTCATCTTGGGTTTGGGCAGTCAGGACTCCACTGTAGCTCCTGTGGGACTCTGCATTAGCGGGCCACCCTGAGTGTTGGGGCTGAGTACACTTTCAGATCCAGCAGTTGCCCTGCAGGAGCATCCTTGTTGCTGGCACCATGTGGGCTGGCTTATTGGGTTTCTTGTTGATTGGACACAGGTCTTTTTTTGGCTGGGTTGGAAGGATAGGAAACAGGTCATCATGGTGTATTTATTGCTCTTTTGGTCTCTTTTGAAGGTGACAAGCCAGGACAAGGCTCCAAGTGTCATTAGTCGTGTCCTTAAGAAAAACAATCGTGATTCTGCAGTGGCTTCAGAGTTTGAGCTGGTACAGCTGCTGCCGGGGGAGCGAGGTGAGCAGCCAGGGGAAGGCAAAGTGAAGGGTGTGTTCTCACGGGGCACTCGGGGGAGGAATGAATGCTTGACACCCCCTCTGAACCCACAGAGCTAACCATCCCACACTCGGCTAATGTCTTCTATGCTATGGATGGTGCATCTCACGACTTCCTCCTGCGGCAGCGCAGAAGGTCCTCCGCTGCCACACCGGGTTCCCACATCGGCCCCTCTGCCTCAGGAACTCCCCCGAGCGAGGGAGGGGGGGGCTCCTTTCCCAGGATTAAGGCCACGGGGAGGAAGATTGCACGGGCCCTGTTTTGAGGTTTACAGAAGTCACAGCACTCACCCAGCAGTGGTGGCCACTACACTAGCAGGAATCCTGAAAGGCGGCCAGCAGCCCTGGACAGTCCACTGCCACTTGTTTACCAAACCACCGAGAGAGCCAGCCCCGTGGACTGGTGATCACATAACCAAATTGGATCCCAGCATACAGCTTCCACCTCTGGGCAATGTGGTGAACTGTCAGTGTTGGGAAGAGTGTGCTCCTGCCACACGCTAGCCTGTGAAGGGCCAAGGAAAGGCCTAGAGGCTGAGCCCAGGGCAGAGGACAATGACATGACCTTCTGTTGGGAGCTTCTTGTCACTGTGACAACACTAAGACAATAAACCCAAACACTACCTGAATTCTGTTCCCATCCTTCAGTGCACAGAACTGGGCACTAGGAATGAGGAGCGGGATGAAAGAAGGCAGAGAACAGGGCCAGGGACTCCACTTCCAGGGGTGCCCGGCATGGCTCAGTGTGACGTGCCTGGCGGGCAGGATGCACAAGGCTCTGGTCCATCCGGGGACCTGAGAGCAGGGTCCTGGTGAAAGCGGACCCGGTGACGCCTTCACTCCTGGCTCCTCTATAGACTGCTTTCTCTTGCCACAGACACTAAGAAGCAGGGGCTCCTGAATCATATCCATCACTGTCCCTCAAAAGCAGATTCACAAGAAATAATTTAGGACAAAGAAATTAAAAAACAACTTTGTGGATATGACATATATGTTTGGAAGAATTTCAGATTAGTTAAAAGTTACATTCAGCTGGGTGGTGGTGGCACACACCTTTAATTCCAGCACTTAGGAGGCAGATCTCTGTGAGTTTGAGGCCAGCCTGGTCTACAGAGCGAATTTCAGGATAGCCAGGGCTGCAGAGAAACATTCTCTCCAAACAAAAAGACAAAAAAAAAAAAAAAAAAAAGAGAGATTCCAACCAATGCTAAGAAGACAGGTGAAGACAGGCTAATGACCTAGAGCTGTCTGGGGACAAGTGCTCAGAGTGAGGGACCACGTCACACCCTGGGCTCTCGGCTAGAGAACCGTGTGTTCTACAACTAAACTGACATCTTAGGGTTATACTCCCATGTCCCCGGGTTACGCCAACCAACATAAGGGAAGATAAAGAGTTGTGTGAACAGGCAAGAAACAGGCTGAGACATTTCAGACTCAAAACTGAAAACAAAAACGCCAGAACCCTATCTCAGAGGTGTAAATTATAACCAGGAAGGGGCCGAGGAAAGGGAAAGGCCAGTGAAGAAAGACCGGGTAGAAAGAACTGGCTTTGTTGACATTTTATTGGCTATTCTAGTGTAGACCCCCCCACCCTCCACGGGGTCAGGCCTTCCCAGGAGCCTTTGCCGCCTGGGCGCGCTGGAACTCCTGCTGCAGTTGAGCGAGGGTCTCCCTCTGTTGCTCCGACTGCCGCTCAAGGTCCCGAAGCTGCGATTCGTAGCGCTTACTGAGGAGGGGAAGAGGGAGGCAAGCGGAAATCAGTGGGGGCTTGAGTGGCAAGGGGAGACTGGTGGAAAGTCTGAGGTTTGGGGGATGCAGGGGCGCGGGGTGGGGTGGGGGTAGGAGATGCGCACTAAGGGAAAGAAAGGGCTGGTCAGGTGGATCAGTGGGCAGGGCTGTTTTCCTCCAGGGCTGACACCTCAATTCAATCTCCAGAGCCCACATGGCAGGAAGGAGGCGATTCCCGCAGGTTGTCCCCTGACTTTACACGAGTGCCATGGCACAGGTGCCCGCCCCCCTAAATATGATGCAAAAAGGAAGGCTGAACTGGTAGCGCCTTTAACCCCACCCCTCGGGAGCCAGCCAATACTTGACGGTGAGACCCTGTCTCAGGGAGGAATAAGAAAGCAGGGCTTGGGAAGCGGGGACCGCTATGGAGAACTATCCAACACTGGTGCGCGGAGATGCCGGCGGCATCACCGGGTGCTGAGCACTTACATCTCCGCGGTGATGTAGTCGAGCCTCTTCCCCACCGTGGCCCGAGCCTCCCCTAGCTCCTGTTTGACGAGCACGGGTCCCAGCAGCTTAAAGACCACGTTGGATCCATCCAGCAAGGCCAGTTCCTGGAGAGAGGAGGGGGAGGGGGATGAGATAACGGTGCCCGGCAAAGCCCCGCTCTGTCCCGGCGTCCCGAATCCTCACCTCCTTCACGATGTTATTTTCTGTTAGCTGTGCCTCCAGCTTCTGCCTCCCCGACATGGATTTACTCAGGTCTGGGGTGGAGGGAGGAAACGCATGATTAAAGACATCAAATGGGGCAGGAACCGCACGGTCCCGGAGGGGCCGGTGGGGAGGGAGGGAGGAAGGGGCCCGAGCTGCCCGCCCCGCGGCCCCTCGCTGCGGTGCGTGGACTCAGCGTGGGCACCGGGACCACCCGCTGCCCGCTCACCCTTCTGCAGCTGCTGGTATTTCTCCACTTCTCCCTGCAGCTTCTTCTGGATCAGCTCGGCCATGGTGGAGGAGAAAGGCTCCGGGGCGGGCGTCCTGGGCTCAGGCGACCCTGCGGGAGGACAGCACTTCGTCCCGGCGGCTCTCTGAGGCTCCGCAGCTCCTCCTCATCCAGAAGAGCCACTACCTAGGAGGTGCGGAGCGACATGGACCCTCCGGGTCCTCCGAGCCAAGCCCCGAGCCTCTTCACGGTCTCAACAAACCCGGAAGTGAACAAGGCATGCTGGGAAACAGACGGCGCCGGAAGCCGCGTTCTGACAGGCACGCCGGGACTTGTAGTTCTGACCTGTGTGTGCGTGTGAACCGCGTTCTGCCGGAAAAAGACTCCACTCGAGAGGTTTTAGGCAAGACAGAGAAGTTAATCTGGAAAAAAAGGAGCTCATCGTTAGGAGGGTTCGGGGCCCAGACTTACCTTTTAGTCACCATTTGGCCAGAAGCTGCCCCTCGGCTGAGCCTACCCGCTCACAGAGGCTTGCCCTCACTCGAGATGGCGCCTGAGGCTTCAGGCTCCCGTACGGCGATGATTGGATGAAGGCCGGAGGGTTCCCGGAAGTTTTTTTTTTTTTTTCCGAGGGCCGTGGGACTGCTGCGGGGAGTTTCGCACGTGGGTCGTCGCTGGGTCAGCGAGATGGAGACAGCCCCCAAGCCGGGTCGGGGTGTCCCACCCAAGAAGGACAGCCCCCAGGCCCGGAGGAAGGTAGCGGCTTCGGTGGGAGGCGCCGCCGCCCTCGGGGCTCGGGCTCCGGCCCGGACTGCGAGTGCCAGGCCTTCTCCTCCTCTGTCCCCAGAAGCCGCGGCGGTACTGGGAGGAGGAGACCACCCCGGCCGCTGCGGGCGCCGCCCCGGGGCCGCCTGGGAAGAGGGCGAGGACGCGGGAGCCGCGGCCGCAGAGGTCCCAGGGCGTGCACGGCGCCCCGAAGTCTCGGTTCTGCAAGAAGCCCCGGACCCCGAGGAGCGCCCCAGACCGGAAGAAGCCGCCGCGGACCCTGTCTGGGGTGAGCCTGGCAGGGCCGACGGGGTGGCGTCTGAGGGTGAGAGCAGCCGGGTCGATCAGGCTCTGCCCCTTCCCCTCGCCAGGCCCAGGACCCGTTTCCGGGACCCGCCCCCGCCCCGGTGGAGGGGGCCCGCAAGTTCCGTCGCATCGACAAGTCCAAGACGGTGAGCCAGGGCGGGTCGGACGGTGGGGAGGGGTGGGAGGCCGCGATGCATGGGTGAGGTGGCTAGTGGCGTGTCCGTGGCTCCCCTGGGGCCCCACGGATGCTCCTCGGTTCTTGCAACCCCGACCCACCCCGCCGTAGCTCCCACATTCGAAGCCCAAAACCCGGAGCAAGCTTGAGACGGCTGAGGCGCAGGAGGAGGAGGCGAGCGTCAGGGCTGCCCGCGCCGAGCTGCTGCTGGCCGAGGAGCCTGGGTGAGTGCACCCTGCCCTGGGCTTTGATGTTTGCGGGCCAGCCTCGTGCTGGAGAAGGTCAGCGTCGCCCTAAACTGTGCCTCCCAGGTTTCTGGACGGAGATGGGGAGGACACGGCAAAAATCCTGCAGACGGACATCGTGGAGGCCGTGGACATCGCCAGCGCTGCCAAGGTGAGCCTGAGGAGGAAGAGGGCCCGGAGGCTGCGTCGGGGAGTTCTTTCTTTCATGTTTGCTTTCCGCCCCTTGCCAGCACTTTGACCTGAATCTGAGGCAGTTTGGACCCTACAGACTGAACTACTCTCGCACAGGGAGGTAAGGTTGAGTTCCGGTGGCTCTTCGCTTTCTAAGACAGGACTCACGGTTGACGTGTGCACACCGGGGACCAGAGTGGCTTGGGTTTTCCTAACCTGGAAGCCTGCAGGGCCCCCGTGGGCGTCCTGTCTTCCTTTCCTTTGGGGCTGGGGTTATAGGCATGTGCTGGACACCCAGACTGCTACGAGGGCGCACTCCTAGCTCTGCCCTGACTCTGCGTTGCCTCTCCCACACCTCCCCTGCCCCCTTTTCAAGGGAAGAAGGGTTAATTCTGGCCTGTAGTTCTGCGGGATGCAGCCCATCATGGTAGGGATCGTCCCAGCAGGAGCTGGAGGAAGTTGAGCTCTTCTTCTGTGGTTCTGGATGCGGAACCCGTGACCTCATGTGTACATGCAGAGCACACACTTGGCTGTCGAGCCAACCCACCCTCAGCCCCTCGGCTTCCAGTGACTTGTCTGTGTATGTGTGTGCGTGTTCATGTGGTGGCGCAGCTGCACGTGGGCGTGTACGCTTGTGATTACCAGAGGTTACTGTGGCATCTTCACGTACTGCTTTCCACATTTTCCTCCCGTTTATTGTTA